TGAATATCTTTTCATTTGGTTGTTGATTATAGTTCTTGCCTAACTTCTTCCCGAACTATGATTTGAAAAAAAAAGCTTTTTATTTATTGAACTTTAATTTGACAGAGCATTAAGCCTTTGACTATAATGCAAATTTAACATGTTATATAAAAATAACAGATACTGTTTAAATTATGACCCTATTCATGATCAATTTAGTTTAATGGCTCTTTTACTGTAATACTTCGAAAGGGATGGCTGCAGCTTTGCACAGTAAACTTAACAGTTTTCAAAGGAAAATTTTAGCATGAGGCTCCAATGCAGTCATTGCAGAGATGGGTGTTTGGACCAATTCTGGACCTTTCTGTCTCTTTGCTGTTATAAGTAGGACTTGACTAACTCCAGTGCTTACTTTAAATGGTGTTCGGAAGCTCTGATGTATTTTGTGGGCCTTCTCAGGGTGCATGGTCTACTCCTTTCCTTATAGCCCCCTGTGGCTCTTTATGTTCCCAGGGTTAGTTGGTTTTACTGAATCTGTTGATGTCTTCCTGCACTGATCACATGGAAGTGCTATTCTTGCACCCTTTGTCAGATGGCCAGCTCTCACTTACTGTAATAGATAGATTTGTGGCGATCAAAAGACAAGTCTAAATACCAAGGATCTATAAATGTGACCTTGTTTGGAGAAAATGTCTTAGAAGATCTAACTAAGTTAAAAATCTTAAGAATCCTGGATTACCTGATTGGGCCCTACTTCCAATGAGAATGGGGGCCTTTGGGTGGTGATTTGACCGTAGACTTGGACCCTGTATCCATTGACAGTTGTCCTCACGAGAAGAAGAGAGGACACGAAAGAGGAGGCACACAAGAGAAGACGGTGGGAAGACCGAGATGGGGATTTTGCTGCCACAAGCTGTGGAATGCTTGGAGCCAGCACAAGCTAGAGGACAGGCAGGGAAGCTCTTGGAAATGGTGGGCCTCTGGACATATACGAGAATGCATTTCTGTTGTTTGGAGCTCTCACTTTTCAGGCACTTTGTTATACAGTCCCAGGCAATGAACTCACTCTGAGTCTGACATTTGACTCAGGTGTCCCCGGTGCCTGTAGTCTTGAATTCCCAAGGCAGGGTAGATTTCCCTCTTCTCTGCACCCATGGCCTTTCTTGAAGCTGTCACTCTACTTGTACCTGCAGGCATGATTATCCTTTGATGTGTTAATCTTCTCCATAACACTGTAGGTTCTGTGGTGGTAGGTTGTTTCTTATCAGCGTTTCTCAGCTGATGCATGGCTCAGCAGAAGCATCTCAGTATGTACATGTTTCGTGAAAAATGTATTTTAATGCAAATCCTCTTGTTTATTAAATCTCCCAGCATGCTCACTTAGATGCTGAGAGCATGCAGTGAGGACCATCATACCTGACTTTCCTGGTGTGGGTACTCTTCCACTTGAGGACACACTGATAAGTTTATATTGTTTCTAAAATACTGTTCAGTTTCTTATATCTACCCAGAAAGTCATTTTCAAATTCCTCTATTCCCTTAAGTACTCTTTTCTGTCACTTTGCTCCTCCATGAACTTTTATTTCCGAAAGCTCATACATTCCCATGTTTATATAATATGATTTATTCGGGTAAATCCTTCACTGGAGCTGTGAATGACAAGACTCCTCCTCACTTGTTACCATGAGCCCCATGAATTCCTGCCTGTGCCAGGAGGCTGTTTTGGTCACTCAGGTAGGAATGCCAGGCTCCTTCTCAAAGCTCCTGTTGTGCCAGTCATTTGTGCAGACCAGGGTAAGGGTTTGGGAAAGTTCTTCTTCATCCTGGCATCTTCACTGAGTCCTGAGGATCTCCAGTGGAGTGCCTTGTTGATTGGGTATGTTAGCAGTATCAGTGTGTGACATTAATACAGGAAAATTCTGTACCTGTCCCCATGTAATTCTTTGCTTCCTTCTTTCTGCCATGCTCCCACTCTTGTGTCCTCTTCTTCCCTCTGTTCTTCTCCTAATAGCATTGACCTTCCTCTGCTTTTACAGGATTTATGAAAATGAGTCACCACTGGAAAGGTAATTGTTTTGCAGAGTTCAGCTACAATGACCTCCTGGTGCTATGCAAGTGAGAAGAGAATTTCAGCATTTATGAGAGATGTAGGAATTGTTTTTGTGAAAAAGCATCCATTTCCTTACCTGTGGATGGGTTTAGACATTTACGGGTTTTGAGTAGATGTGGAGGCAGTAGAAGAATAGAGAGGGATACAGAAAGGCTAAGCCCATTGATGTCCGGCAGAACAAGGTTGTCCAAAAGTGGTGCCAAGTAAACTTTCAGGAAGTTTATGTCCTGTGATAATGTGAAAGTTGTGTAAATTATGATCTAAATGTGCTCATCTCTGTTTTTCCAAAACTCTTGAAGTTAGTAAAATAATTGTTGAAATAATTTTGGTGTACAGGTTAGTCAGTACGGTTGGATATATGGAGGCAGTTTTGTCTCAGTAACATTCAAACTGGTAATTTCAGTAGCATTCCTCTACCCTGTGAAGAGGGCGATTTTTCAATAGTCTGTTTTTACTCAGGCTTAGAAATGTGTATTTTTTTTATGTAAGTTTAGAAAACCAAGATATCAAGAACTTTCCCTTTGTTAAAGCATTGGATTGTAGAAAATACTTTGGAGTCTTGAGTTTGAATGCTGCCTTAGTAACTCGTTAGTTTTCTTAAACTCTTTTTTTTAATGGGCCTAAAAATCCTGTGACAGATTTTTTGGCCATTTTTGTTTGCATTAAAAGGTACTGAGTTTAGAAACTAATAACTTAAAACCACCGTGTACAGAAGAACCCCAAAACATATGGTCCACAAAACATTATCCTTTCCTTCTGAGGCTTTTACAATGCATTGGTATCATTAACCAGTCTTCCACTACCAATGGCCAATTTATACAAACTGTTATGAGAGCATTCTTCCTCCACTGATTAAGACTTGGGTGGTATTTAGCCTTCGGAGCTCTCCTGTCAGATGTGTTGAGGTTACCAGCTTCAGGAGTCTTGTCTCCTACTTCGATCACACTCACAGCAACTGGCTGTCTCATGTCATGAACATCAAAATAGCCCAGAGGAGAACAGTCAGAGAAGCTTTAAATATACATGGACTTTCTAGGAACCTTGTCAGTGAGGGCAGCGTCACCATCACCAGATTTCAAGAATTTAGGGCCGTCTTCCAGTCTTTCCCTTCAGCTAAGCAAACCTGTAATTAGCACGGACTGTGTGACAGTCTAGTACTGGGGCACAGCTAACACTGCTCAGGACAATCACTTGAGCAGTAAAGCCAAGTTGCCTCCATTGGTAGATCATTTTGGTGCTCATCAACATCACCACCACAATGACATGTTCTTGACATTGAAGAGCATATTGAATTCAGGGAGAGTTTCAGTCACAACTTCATGGTACATTTCAGTGGTCTTTACCTCACTTGTGACATTGTCTGCAGCAAAGGTTGTCGCCATGCCAGGCTTGAGAATAACAGTTTCTACTTGAGGCACAATGGCAGTCCCAATACCACCAATTTTGTGGGTATCATGTAGGGGCAAATGAAAAGGTTTGGCAGTTAATCTATTGGTGGGAGGATGCAAATCCAAGACCTCAAGCTGTGTGATTCCACTGGCATTCCCATTTTTGTGGGTGACTTTCTGTCTTTGAACCATGGCATTTAAGCACTTGACTCCAGCACATCATCACCATTCCAACCACAAGTTTGTACAGATGCTACCGTGCCAGGATGGTAGCCAGTTCTCAATGTGGATGCTATCTTCCTTAACAACTTCTCTACAACTCTGGTTGTAGGATGGCTCTGTGGAATTTTGTTAACAGCAACAATCAGTTGTCACACCTAGTGTGTCAGCCTGAAGGGCATGCTCACCAGCCTGCCCAGTCTGGGGGATGCCAGCTTCAAACTCCCTAATTCCAGCAGCAACAGCAATCATCAGAAAAGCATAGCCAGCCTGAGCTGTGCCTGTAATCATGTTTGTGATAGAGGCTCTTTTCCTGGGACATCAGTGATAGCCGTATCTCAAAGTTTTCTCAGATTACCACAGGGAGATGTCCATGGTGATACCACACTCATGTTTGACTTTCAGGCATACTTGAAGGAGCCCGTTCCCATCTCAGCAACCTCCTCCTCAAAGTTTCAGTGGACCTTAGGATGACGCCACCACATTTGTTGATCAGACAGCCAGTAGTAGTGCACCTGCAAGAATTCAAATGTGCAGTGACGATGTTGATATGCATCTTTCCCTTTCCCATTTTGGCTTTAAGGGGAGTTTTCACAACACCTGTACTGCATTCTGCTGACAAACCTATTACAAAAAGTCAGCTTTACATTTTTGAACAACGCTGTTAGTTTTCATTACTATAAGAAAGTACTCGCTATAGCCTCCTTTGTAAAGAAATGAGATTTGTGTTGGCTTGCACTTCTGGAGGAACAGAGTCCTGATGGCGTGAGGTAGAGGAGACAGGATTGATACAGGATCTCTTTGCTATGTCACATTGTGGTGGGAGTGTGCATGGCTGTGTCTGTGTGGCTTCTCTACTTAAAAAAAAAATTCCACCAGATTCAATCACAGGGACTCCACCGTAACAATCTAATCCAATCTAGTCATTTCCCGAGACCCCTGCCTCTGAATGCCATTGCATTTTGGTGTCTAAACTACTGCATGGATTTTCAGGTTAATCAGTGACGGCAACATAGTTTCTCTGTCAGATTCTGCATCACTGAAACAGAAAGGATAATAAGACTTCTTCAAGTTCTAGAGTGTTGAATGCAGTTACATGAAGATTCGCTGGCAGACAGCGAGTCTTAACAAATAGTAATTGTTGTTGTTACAGAGTTTGTTGCGGGCAATACCAAGAATGCTACAATGAGTGCTACTGAGAGATAATGAAGTTGTAAAATCAGTGTTGGCTTGATTGCAGAGTGTGTTCTAATTGATTTTGCATTTCATACGGGAAATCATTTGCATTACTTAATTCTTTCCAGAATAACGGGACCACTGAGCATCAGGTGGAATCTTTCATAAGGAAAAAACTGGAGTCACTGTTAAAAGAATCTCAGATTCGAGACAAAGAAGATCCTGATAGTTTCACAGTGAGGGCACTGCTGAAGGCCACGCATGAAGGCTTAAATGCACACCTGAAGCAGGTACACAACGTCCTCCGGCAGGTGGCCTTTGACGAGAAACAAAGGCACTTCGTGTTTTGTTTCCAGTCACTTGTGCAAATGTCTTTCTTTCCTATCATCTTTCTTGAACGATGACAATCTCATGCTGCAAAATGATGTGAGAGATAGTTAACGGTAGATTGTGGTGGGGTAGAATGACTCAAATACTGGAGTATCTCAATTGGGACTGGGAGGACAGAGCCCTGGATTCATTTTCCCAACATATGCTCAGATGAGCATAGAGGCTTCAGCTACCTCCCTCCTCACATTTAGCCCTCTTCCAGGTCCAATTGATAGCATCTCCTGAATGCACCTCCCATCTCTTCACTTCTCTGTAGTTTATCCCAATCTAGCCAATCCTCAACTCTCACCTAGACTTCTTTTGTTTCCCTTCAATCTGATCTCCACTCTGAAATAAGCATGATGTTTTAAAAATGCAAACCTAATCCTATCCGCATTGGTATTTGGAAATCTTCTGTGTCTTCCAGTCAAAGTTGGGAGAAATAGAAAACTCTTCAACCAAGATTTCAAGGTCCTGTGTAAGGATACCTGTGCCTGTCTTCCCACTGTCAGTTTCCCAGTGTCTCTGTCCTATTGTCTTCTGTATTATGCCAACCACCAGTGTCTTTATTTGGTATAATCTTTTAAACATCTCATTCCTTCTGTCTGGAACACCATACCTTCATCTGCTGTAACTAACTCCTGACTGTTCTCTTCAGTGTGATGTCCTGAATGAGTTCTTCCTTGACACCCTAGGCTAGGTTTCCTGCTAATGTTTTCCGTGGCAGCCTGTTGTATCTTTCATGAAGCCTTTTCCTCCTATACATTTCCAAGTGAACTGTTTAATACTTGTATTTCCAACCAGATTGTAGAACTTATGAACATGGAAACAATGTTAGTCTTGGTAATCATAATTTTCCAGATTTGTGTAATATGTAGGACTAAGTACGACCCTTATGAATAGTTGGACAAATTATGAGATTGGATTTTGCTGACAAATTAATTCCTAATGAAAATGCCCTGAGTGGACAAGTAAGATTATTTATTATAAATGGATTTTTGATGTGGCTATTGGTTTAGCTGTTGGCCTCCATCCCTGCTTGCCCTTCAGGACTCAGGCATTCCCAGGGGGAGAGGACACCTGAGAGATATGAAAGGACACCTTTTTATGTATAAGCTACCACTCAATGTTGATGATTGTTCTCTGGACCTTATAAAGATATAACCATCCATTCAGCTACTGGGTTGCTCTTCAGATCTATTTAATTCCAAATATATATTAAAAAAAACTAACTCAAAATGACAAATAATGAAGGAAGATTTCGGATCCAGTAAGTGGCATAATAATTTGCAGAGTGGTCTAAGGAGTGGGTGTAACTAGAGTTGCGGTGGTGTCTTTAGAGACCTGCCTTTCTATTCTCTTATTGTTGATGTCATCCCATGTCTGCTTGACGACTGCCATGAGACCATGAAGTGCTTAGTCCCTGTTCAGAGATAGAGCCAGTGTATCTGCCCCAACCATCAATTCAGAGTTCATATTTAGTTCTGAGTGGCCAGCCTACCTCATGTGCATATCCTTAAGCTAATTTTCATGGATTACTTTTGTCAGGCAAGGGTATAGGATAACACTGACATGCTTATGTCAGTAAGAACTTAAGCCTGGAATGGGTGTTAAGTCTGCTCTTTCCATACTGGGTATTAGAGGAACAGATGGAAGATTGAGGTGGCAACCAAAAGTTCAGGTGTGGCATTACTGATTGCCCTGATAGCTTATTTCTTTGGATGTTCTTAAAACTTCTACAAATAGTAATATAACTATAAAATCACATTTGATTAATCCACTGTCATTTTTGCTCCTTGTTCTTAGTGAGTCCTCGATGGCTGATCTGGGCCAGTCATTTCCTCTCATGCTCTTGGAGAAGACTTAACCCTACTCTAGATTAGTTCAATCATAAAGACAGCTACAGATCATGGTTAGTGTGTAAGAAAACAAGTTGAATCCATCTTTCTTTTGTTATTAATTGAAGATATTTTAATGCTAATTTCCTCATTAGGCAAAATGGTAAAGAAAGCTTGAATTTTAGGGATGTAGTAGAGCAAACTATACTCCCACAAGTTTTCATGTATTTTCTGTGCAATCTAGGTGACTTAACATAGGCACTGTAGGAAAATAAAGTAAACGGAGCCTGTAGCTTCAATAAGCTGGGCTATGAAGTGTCACAGTTTTAATGTGTCACTTTTAAGCCTATGGTTTTGGTTCAGTGGGCAAGTAAGGACAGGTCGCTGGTGAGAGAAGCAGTGACAGATATCTGGAGTCCAAAGCCAAGGATGTGCTGAGCTGGGCTCAGGGCTGCACGTAACTCCAGCTGCTTCTTTCCGGCATCACTGTTCAGCCATTGCCCCATTGCCAGGTGGTGTTCTACATTTACTGTCTTTTCTCTGGAGGACCCTGCTGGAAACAAGGAATTGTAAGAGTCCTTAAGCAGTCTTGCCACTGTCTTCCTTACGCCTGAGCTGGTTCTTCCTGAATCCCTATAATGAGTTGCTAACTCCACTTTTCTGGCCTTCAGCTGCCCTGACCCCTTCAATTTCTCATTCACACAACAACCATAGTGATAGTTCAAAATAGCATCTGGTCATGCCATTTCTGTTTTTGTTCACTCAGCATTGGCCTGGATGAGCTCTGACATGGCAGTTAAGAAATCACTTGTGATGTCTATTTCTAATATTGGGGTGTCTGGCTGCCTTCCAGTCCTGGCTCTGCTCCATATTCTGGTTTCCTTCTGTTTCCCACTCTGGGAAACAGCAGGTGTTGGCTTGAGAAGTTGGGTCCCTGCCTGGATGTGGGAGACCTGAACTGGGTTTACAGCTCCCAGCTTCCACCTGACTCAGTTGTAGCTGTTGCAGGCATTTCGGCAGTTCACCGGTTGATGAAAGTTTTGCCTATCAATCTGTCCCTCTCTTTGCTCTTATTCTTTGTCTATGTTATTCAAGAAAAAAAAATTTAAGGGGTGGGCATTTGGCTTGGTTGTTAAGACACTAGTGAGACAGCTCGAGTGCTGTGTTGGAATGCTTGATAGTTGCCTCTGCCTCCTTATTCTAGCTTCCTACTAATGTGGACATGGGGAAGCAAGACCCATGACTCAAGTCATTTGTTCCTTGCACCCATAGGGGGATCTGGATCGAATTTCCTGTCTTAGCTCTGACCGCGGCCATGTGGACATGTGGGAGATTAACTAACAGGTGGAAACTTGCTCTTTGTCTATCAAAACATAAATGAAGGAAATTTAAAAAGTCTGAAAGTTTGCTGATAGTCTGGGAAGATAAAGTTCACATTCAGAAATGCAGCTCTCGAGATCTTGTCTTCCTTCTCTGGCCCCAGCAGTGACTCAGATACTCAATGCAAGTGTGTAAAATACAAGCAGGTGCAGGCCCGCTTCCTTCATTTCCTGGATGTGTCATGGCCTTAGTCCTTGAGCTCTGTATTTGCTGTTCCCTTGGCCACAAGATGGTTCTCCATGTCGGGGAGATAATGTTTCTCACCTCCAGGCTTCTGCTTTGGCTTCATGTCTCCTTGGGAATCTTAATTCTGAAGTTAGTATGGACTGTGTGTGCCATCTCATAGTGCCCTGACCTTTCCCCAGTGTCGTCTCCGCACAGTGTATTGTGAGTGTTGTCCCCACCATTAGATGTAAACCCTGTGAGGGCAGGGTCTGTATGTTTCTTGTTTGTTTTGTGTTGTGTTCTTACCAGGTCCTTGGGACAATGTCTTATCCATAAATTCAGTGAGAGCTTCAGTGTAGATTCTCAGGGACACATAGAGGGGCTGGCGTTGTGATACAGTGGATCAAGCCGCTTCTGTCGACACTGGTATCTCATGTCTGAGTGCTGACTGGAGTCTCAGTTGTCCTGCTTCCAATTCACCTAGGAAGGCAGCAGAAGATAACCTAAGTACTTGGATCCTTGCCACTTACGGGGGAGAGCGGGATGGAGTCCCTGACTCCTGGCTTTGGTCTGGGCCAGCCCTGCCTTTTGTGATCATTCGGGGGAGAGAAACAGTGGATGGAAGTTATTTATTTATTTGTCTCTTCTTCCACTGTCCCCTCCCCCTTCTCTCTCTCTAAATCCTGGGGACAGTTGTTTGTTGACACTTGGACATAAAGAGGTAGTGTGAGAGTAGCTGCAGAGGAAGAAGCAGCAAGAGGGTAGACGCAGGACTAAACAGACTTCTTGTTTGGTAACAACGAACATATTGTACAATTTCACTGTATTTCAGTTTCTCTTTTTTTGTAAAATTAGTATTTTAAACATGCTTATGTCTGAACAGGTTGCATACACCAAGCAAGACTGTTGTAACACACGTTACATTATCCTTGGGATGCAGTAGGGCCCGAGTCCATAGGTGGACCACATACTTCAGTTTCCCTAGAATAACTAGTTTATGCTTATTGTCTTGGTGTTATTATAAGTGCTTCATTTTATAAGTTTCTATTTTAGGTAAAACCTTTTGCCCCTAGCCCTCCAGCATTTTCTAGACTGGTGTTTTCCTGTCAGTTCTTGGATTTTCTAACTCTCTGATGCATAATTTGCAGCCCTGACTAGTAGGTCTAAATATGCTTTACCCCTTTCAGTTTTTATTTGGTTTTGTTTACTCATATTTGTTCTTGTTATGTGATTCTGTTTCTTTTAGCTTGAATCTTGGTTGGTGAGGCCTGCTGGTGTCTTTTTATTCCATATTATTTATAACAAAACACTTAATAATTTTTTATGCTTAAACTTGAATGCAGTTTTACCTCTTTAAGCAGGGTATCTTTTCTGTCTTCTAATGAGACATAAGAGTGAGCAAAGAAAGTTGACCTAGGATCTCTGATTTGGAAAATTACCCATGTAATGAAAAGTTCAGAGGAAACAATCCTTTCTCCAATGCTCACACAGAGGGCCTTATTTTGATGAATAGACAGTATTTTGCTATGATTTACTTAAATATTGCTAAAGATATGCTTGGATTAAAATAAGTTTTCAAATCCCAAGTAGTAATTTTCAATCAAGGTGATCACTGTTTCTTCAGCAGAATTGACTCCTAACAAGTTTTGATAATTTTCCCAAATTAAATTTCCTTTTAACTGAAAATGATTTATCCGCAGTCAGGGAACTGCAGGAACACATCTCATGTTGTGAAAGTCTGGTGAATAGGCATTGTGATAGCCAGCACAGCTGGATGGCCCCAAGAGCCCTTGACCCCAGCTTGGTAAAGCTATGAGCAGCTGCTACATCCTGACTGGTGCCCAGGCTGCCAGCGGACTGAGCTGCGTGTAGGACAGGTGTAGAGCAGGAGGAAGCAGGCAGGGGGCTCCGCTGGCTTCTCACCTGGAGGCAAAGGGAAGAGATCTGTCTGTCATCCTAGTAAAGCTAAGGAGGAAACAAAAGCATGGAAGAAAAATAGTCATATGCCGCCTTTGTTTACCCAGCCTCCAGAAGTGAAGGAAAGTGGAAAGAAATCCCATGGACGTTCCCTGATGACCAACTTTGGAAGACACAAGGTAGGAATCAACAACGATAAACAAGCACAGTGTGATTAAAAATTCTGAAAGCCGAGAGGACAACAATGTTGAGACTGGACAGACGATTTCTTAAATAGACTCATATGGGGAAAAGTCTGATAAACTGTTTTAAAATTTTAAGTATTTCTACCCATTAAGAGCATTAAGTTGCATAATAGAATATTTAAAATAAGTAAATCATTATTTGCTTATTTAAACTATGTAAATAAGTATGGGATTTTTGTCATGCATATGTAAATAATTTCCTGTGAATGAATATAAAAAGGGCAAAAAACATACTTATTTACAAAAGATGTCCAAATGACTAAGAAATTGAAATTTCTTTTTATCAACCATCTGGGAAATGCTGATTAAAATAATTACCAAATTGTAAATTATTGGGTTCTTCAAAAAGTTCATGAGAAATGTGTTTGTTAAGAAACTTGTTCAAAGGGGCTAGTGTGTTACAGTTTCTGAATATGAGGCATTCAGTTTTACATTAATATTGTAACCTAGTTATGGCCCTGACATGTTATCAGTGGTGAGGCAAACTGTGACATTTGGTAATTTTTTTCTTCCAAGTGATCGTCCTTGTGTGTGTGTATTTAATACTTCAGTCCATTTGCTTGTACACATAAATGTTCCTGAGTTTGTTTTCAAGTTCTCTATGATTTTTTGGGGGCAGAAAACCACAAAATCACGGTGTAAATCTTACAATACTGATGACGAGGAAGACACACAGCAAAATCCCAGCAAGGAGTGTGGCCAACTGTACAGGTAAGAAATCACCTGTGTGTTTCTGGATGGCTCCCTGGGTTTCTTTATCCTTGCCAGCCTGGTTATTTCGGTTGCTCATGTTAAGATGATTGGATGTGCTTGTGTGGGACATGTGAAAACCAACTGGTTCTGAGGTGATAATACATGTTAACTTAGCACTATGCCTGGCCTACAATGAGACTCTTATTTTTTTTTTTAATTTAAGATTTATTTGTTTTTATTGGAAATGGAGATTTTACAGAGAGAAGGAGATACAGAAGGAAATCTTTCACCCACTGGTTTACTCCCCAAGTGGCTGTAATCGCTGGAGTTGATCTGATTCAAAGCTAGGAGCAGGAAAATTCCAGGTTTCCAACGTAGGTGCAGGGTTCCAACGCTTTGGGTCATTTTCCACTGCTTTCCTAGGCCACAAGCAGGGAGCTGGAAGGGAAGTGGAGTTTCTGGGACAAGAACCAGCACCCATATAGAATCCTGGTGCTTGTAAGGTGAGGATTTAGCCATTGAGCTATTGGGCTGGACCCAAGACTCTTGTTTTTTTATTTTTTTAAACTTAGTTGAAAGAATTACACAGAGGAGACTCAGACATCCTCTCTCTGTTGACTTACTTTCTATGTGGCCAGAAGGGCTAAGGTTTGGTCAGGCTAATGCCAGGAGTCAGAAATTTCTGGCATCTCCTCTGTTGGTGGCAGAGGCCCAAGCAACTGGGCTGTCTTTCCCAGGTACATTTAGGAGGGAGCTACCTTTTTAGGTGCTAATGGGCTGTTTGTGCGTCTTCTTGGTGAGGAATCTAGCTAGAGATTCTTCCCTGGGGAACAAAGTGTGCCTGCGAGGTGAGTGTGACCGTTTGAAGAAGTTCACTGTCATAAAACACAGTGAAAGGATTTGTGGGGTTGCAGAGAGCATCCTAGGAGTGAGTAGTTTGTAGGATATGGAGAAATTAGATTGAAGGAGAAAAGAGATTAAAGAAAGAAATAAAAAATCACTTGCAATTATACCTCTAAACAATAATCAGTGAGGCAATAATGGTGTAATTCCTTTTAGGCATATAATTCTTGTGGTCCACATGCATTGTTTCTGTAATTTCTAGTCTAGGCTCTCCCTGTGGAATTGGATGCTAGTGACGTCTCTACCTGGGTCACAGTGGGAGCAGAATAGAACTGAAATAAAGCCGTGGAAAAGCCAAGAACACATGAGAATGTGATTCCTGGCAGAATAGAGAATAAAGCCACACTAATCAGATATTGTGGTGAAAAAGTGCTAAACTAGAAATCTTGCATGGAATTTACTCTTGGTTCTGTTAGAATCCAAGGTGGATCGCTTGATTATTCTCTGAAATACAGAAGGTAGAATTACTGGAAGTTCAAACCTCGCAGCTCTACGTTGTCATGCGTTCTGGTGTGTGTCTCCTAGGTTGGGTCGCAGAAGGAAAACCATGAAACTCTGCCGAGAACTCTCTGATTTGGTTGTGTACACAAACTCAGTGGCCGCACAGGACATCGTGGACGATGGTAAGGAATGAAAGCTTTTCTTCTGCTCTGGATAAATGTTTGAGTTTTCAGTGTCAATCGTTAACTTAGCTTTGGTTAATCTGATCATCACTACACATTTTTGGCACCAGGTAGTATCCAATTTGAGTGTCAGGAACCTGACTGCTGGCATAGTGCTGAACTCATATGGTGTCTGCTGATTAAAGTGATTAGCTGATGAGTTAGAGGTTGGAGAAAATTCACACAGCGCTAAGGGTGTGCTTTATGAACGTGAAAAGCCGCATCAAGAGCAAGGTTTCTCTCCAGGACGTGGACTGTATAACCCTGGCCCCGCTGAGGTTTTAAAGGCAGTCCGAACATGAATGACCAGAGGAGAGAAGACATTAAAACCACGTAAGACAACATCTTCAAAAGCTCCATGGTTTCTCATTGGAAGCCTTCACTCGGATGAAAATACTTTAAACCACAGACTAAGTTGTGACAAAAGAGACATAAACTTCAGTAGCATAGAACTCTTTGATGATATCTTAACTAATATTTGCCATATGTACCGGAGAAATTTTCATCCCAGTTCTCCTTACCTTTGTCTTTCCTGTGAGTTGTTCCTTTTCTGTTTATCTTGTATGTATCTTAGCCACCAAATGCTTATCAAAATAATTTGCAACCATGTGGATTTTCAGTCCAATTTTGGTTTTAGTGGACGTGAAATGTAAATCATAATCTCCAATTTTTAACAAGTCTTTTTTAAAAAAGATTTATTTATTTTTGTTGGGAAGGCAGCTATACAGAGAGAAGACATAGCGAGGAAGATCTTCTGTCCAATAATTCACTCCCAAAGTAACCACAATGGTCAGATCCGAAGCCAGGAGCCAGGAGCTTCTTCCAGGTTTCCCACATAGATGCAGGGTCCCAAGGCTTTGGGCCGTTCTCGACTGCTTTCCCAGGCCCAAAGCTGTGGGCTGGATGGGAAGTGGGGCTGCTGGGATTAGAACTGGCACCCACATAGGATCCCAATGTGTATAAGGTGAGGACTTTAGTTGCTAGGTTACCACGCTGGGCCCTGTAACAAGTCTTGCAACAAGGAAATCAACATTGTGATGGGACTTGACACTTTGGTAAATTGGTAGGATTTTTGCCTCCAACTTACTTCCTGACACATTCCATAAGTTTCTGTTTGCAGAAAAATGTCTTCAATTTGATATCGATTTTTCTTCAAATAGTGACAAATATACAAAGTTTAAATTAATCTCATTTGTGAGAGCAGATCCCTTTAAGATTTCCAGCAAGTTGGTGGCACAATCTTATAATAACTGCCAACAGCTCAAGAAATTCAAGTAGTCAGTTAATGAAATTAAAGTTGTATTTAGGGAGTAAAAATTTACAATAAATGTCTTTGGAAATATCATCCCTTTGGATGAATTGAAAATAATAATTGAGTGCTATTAAACTCTTAAACTTCAGCCATCTTTGTCTTTTTGTGTTTGAGGCCTGCAAAAACAAACAGTATGTAGAGAATACATACTTGGAGCTGGGTGGAGGTGTAGCAAGCTAAATCTCGGCTTGTGTTACCAGCATTCCATATAGGGCCAGTTCGAGTCTTGCCTGCTACAATTCCAATTCAGCTCCCTTCTATTAGCTTGGGAAAGCAGTGGAGAATAACCCAAGGGTTTGGGTCCTTGCACCTCCGAGGGAGACCTAGAAGAACCTTCTGATTCCTGGCTTCAGACCAGCCCAGCTCTGGCCGCTGCAGCCATTTGGGGAGTAAATCTGCAGATGGAAGCTCTCTCTTGCTTGCTCACTGTGTCTCTCCCTCTCTCTGTAATTCTTTCAAGTAAAAATAAATATACTTAAAAAATAATGCATGACTTATCCTAATACAAAGAATTACCAAATTTATTCATAGATGAGTTGATATTTGCCATATTAGCAAGGTCATCTTAGCAATGCTGTGTTATTCATATTAACATGGAAACAAGACAGTGATTGTAGTCCTGCTCTTTCAGATTGTTTTCTCCTGTCATAGTCAGAATATTCCATATAAAACCTGAAAATAAATTCAATTTCAGTTTTCTTGACAAATATAAAACTATGTAAACAAATTATGTCAATAAAATATATATTATGGAAGGCATCCAGAAATCATCAGATTAAAAACCATAATTCATTTCTTTGTACCATTTGTATTTTTTTAATGATATATTTTTTATTCATTTGAAAGGTAGGTTTATAGAGAGGGGAGGAAAAACCAGAGAGAATTGTTCATCTGCTGGTTCACTCCCCAGATGGCTGCCACTGCTGTTAATGGCCCTATCCGTGTCAGGAGTTTGGGGCTTCTCTTGGGTTTTCTACATGTGTTCAGGAGCCCAAGTATCTGGGCCATCTTCTGCTGCATTCCCAGGCACATTAGCAAGGAGCTGTTTGAAGAAGAGCAACCGGGACTCTAATCATATAAGGTGCTATCATTGCAGATGGAGGCTTAACTTGCTATACCACAACAGCAACCCCTGTCCCTTCTTTATGAATGAATATTCACCATTCCAATGCTGGAGTGTCACTGTTAGTCAGATGGCCAGCACGTAACATTTAAGCTTGTATAGGCTAAGGGACAATGGAGGACATGACAGGGACGGTGTGCTAGTAAACAGGCATGGTGACGTAAATGGAGAACCTTGCCCTGAACAGGATCACGAGTGTGGACTTGTAGACCTGTGGATAATATAGCTTAAAAACCAGCCCAGAGGAGAAGAATCTGCTAAGCTGCAATGGCCAAGGGCCAAGGGCAAAAAAAGAGGCACAGGCACAAGGAATGAAGTTGCTGATGTCCCGCCCCCCTTGCAAATGGGCATAACTGTTTCAGTCTCAGAATTAACTGATAGACATTGAAGAATTGCCGAAGTGCTTAAAAACACCATATAAAACTTCTTAAAAACAATGAGAAGCACAGATCGGAGCTCAAGGGATTTAAGGAATATGTTACACAGGAAATAGTGTGCTGAAACAATCAAACTGAATTATTAGAAATGAATTTAATACAGCAAATTAAAAATTCAGTGGAAAGCCTCAATAACACAATGAGGCAGAGAAGAATTTCAGATTTGGTGGACTCCACATGTAATAATGGTGAAGCAGTCAGAAAACTGGAAGAGGAACTAAGTAAAATTAATAAAACCATACAAGAATTAAGTGTTATCATCAAAGGGCCAAATATAAGGATTATGAGTGTTCTGGAAGATTGAACAGAGAAGCTGGATTGAAAGATGTATTCAATGAAATAATAAATGAGAACGTCTTCCACCTGTAGAAAGAAAAGTGAAAACAAATGCAGGAAGGGCACCTGAGTAGACTCGAGCAGAAGCGATGCTCGCCACAACGTATCATAATCACGCTACCTTCAGTGCATGTGGGAAGAATCAGTAACTTAAGAGGAACAGCAGGAAGACTCAGAGCTGACCTCTCAGGAAAACCTACAGACCAGAAGAGATAGAGTGAGATTCTAGCTCCTAAAAGAGAAAAAAAAATTGTCATCATCCCAGAATAACATACCTGGGAGAGCTTTCCTTTGTATTTGAACATAAAAATAAAATATTTTCAAAGCAAACAAAAATTGACTTTGCCTCTACCGGACCAACTCTACAAATGCTGCTAAAAGATGTGCTTCAGAGGAAAAAAAAACTACCAAATCCAATATTTTAATAAAACTGCAAAAACAAAAAACAAAAAACCTGTAATAAAAGAGCCCAAGACTAAGATGACAAGACTGAATCACTTCCTGTCAATATTAACCATGATTATAAATAACTTGAATGCATCAATCAAAAGACAGATAGTGGACTGGATCAATAAACAAGACTCATATATTTGTTGCCTAGAGGAGATCATCTCGCCAACAAAGATATATGGAAACTGAAAGTGAAAGGATGGAAAAGGATATTCCAGGCTAATTAAAAGGAAAAACGAGCTGATGTAGCTATCCTATTGTCAGATAATACGGACTTCAACATGAAAAGCATTATGAGATGAAGAAGGACACTACATAATGATTAAGGGATCCATTCAGCAAGAAGAAATCATGTTAATAAATGTATATGTATCAGATGCCAGGGCACCTAACTACATGACAAAAAATATAAAGGGAGAAACAGACTCCAGTACAATAATAATGGGGGATCTCAGTACCCCACTAACGTCAGTGGACCAATTGTTGAGACAAAAACTCAGCAAGGAAACTACAGAGCTCATCTTCAAAACCTTTCATCATACAGACAGAATACACTTTATTAGTACATGGGACCATCTCCAGGATTGATCACATATAAGCCAAGAAACAAGCCTCAGCAGATTCAGAAACATCAAAATCATAACATGTATCTTAGACCATAAAGGAGTGAAACTGGAGAGCAACAAGTCAGAATGCTCTAGAAGGTATGCACATATTTGGAGTGAACAATATGCTGCTAAAAGAACAATGGATTAAGGAAGAAATAAAAGAGGAAGTTTTTAACAATTGCTTGAAACAAATGAAGGCATCTGCATAACATACTGTAACTTGGGGGTCACAGTCAAGGTAGTGCTAAGAGAAAGTTCATTTCAATTAATACCTATGTCAGCAAACTAGAAAGACACCTGGTATTTTGGCTCACCATACATGTGAAGGAGCTAGAAAAACAATAGAAAATAATCCTAAGTTTAACAGAAAAAAAAATAACCAAAATAAGGCAAGCAGTAAACTAGAGAACAGAAAAACAATATATACAATCAATAATTTAAAGAGCTGATTCTTTGTAGAAAATTTACAAAATGGAGTCTACATTAGCCCAACTAATAAAAAAAAAAGGGAGAATGCTTGAATCAATAAAATCAGAGATGAAAAAGGAAATATAACAATGGGAACCTCAGACATGCCTAGAAGAATCATGCATTATTACAAGCAACTACATACCAACAAATTGGAAGACTTAGAAGAAATGGATAGGTTTCTGTACACATACAATTCACCATGAATCATGAGGAAATTAAAAATCTCAGTAGACCTATAACCAGGACAGAGATTGAATCAGTAATTAAATCCCTCCCAGCAAAGAGAATTCCTGGGCCAGATGTCGTCATTGTTGAATTCTACCAAACATTTCAAGATGATCTTGCATTAGTCGTACACAAGCTATTTAAAACAATGGACAAGGATTTAATCCTTCCAAACTATTTCTATGAGGCCAACATCACCTCAATGCCAAAGCCAGATAGAGACACAGCAGAGAAACAGAACTACAGACCGATGTCCCTGATGAACATAGAGGCAAAAATCCTCAAAGAAAGAAAAATACTAGCCAACAGAATCCCACATTACATCTAACAGATCATTCATCCTGGTTCAGGTGGGATTTTCCCCTGGCACACAGGGTTGGTTTAACATATGCAAAACAATAAATGTGATAATCACATCAACAAATGAAAAAAAAATAGCACCTGAGAAAATGATTTGATAAAATCAAACACTACTTCATGCAAAAAACCCCAAGTAAGACAGCTATAGAAGGAGCAATCTGTAACACAATCAGAACAATACATCAAAAACTCAATGTCAACATTACACTGAATCTGGAAACATTGGCCTTTTTCTACCAAGATCTGAAACTAGACAAGAATGGCCAATTCACCACTACTATTTAACATAGCATTGTAAGTCCTCACTAGAGCTATTAGGCAAGAAAGATAAATTAAAGCATTTCGAATTGGAAACAAAGAATTAAAATTATCCCATTCATGGATGACATGTTTCTATACACAGGAGAACCAAAAGACTCAATAAATAAAGTATTGGAACTCAGAGTTTGGCAGTATAGCAGTTTACAAAATTAATGAACATAAGTCAATGGCCCTGGTATACACAATTCAATGCTGTGAAAGAACTTTTAAATACAGTTCTCTTTAAAACAGTTAGAAAGAAGCTTAAATACCTTAGAATAAACCTAACCAAAGACATGGATGACCTCTATGATGAAAATTACAAAAGATTAAAAAAAGAAGTAGATGATATTACAAGATAAAGACATTTAGCGTGGTCCTGGATTGGTAGAACCATTATCATCAACATGCACGTATTGCTGAAGATAATGCACAGATTCAGTGTGATCCAATCAAAATTCCAGCAACATTCTCAGACATATGAATGAGAAGTAGGAGTGATGAGGTGTTGTGGATATGGTACAAATGGGGGAAAAGGATGGAGTATTAAATTTTAGAAGTTTACAAAAAATCACTTGGAACTGCTACTAATAACTGTATGCCAACAAATGAGAAGGTTTAGAATAAAATTACCAAAATTGAGGCACTATGACATAGAAAACGAATGTGATCAAATAAACTAGGTTGGGATTGAATTAGAAATAGAGTTGGCCATCAAAGAAAAATCCAGGAGCTTCACTGCTGAATTGGAAAAACCAATGCCAATTTTCTCAAACTGTTTAAACAATTGAATGGGAGGAAATTCTTATGAACTCACTCTATGATATCAGTATTTTCTTAATGCCCAAATCTTACAAAGATATAAAAAAAGGAGAACTATAAATTGACATTGATAACACATGAAAAATATTATCCACCAAGTGGCATTTACTCCTGAGATACAGGAATAGGGTCATCCTATTCAAATCAATAAACATAATACATCACATCAACAGAATGGAGGATAAAAACTATTAGAAGTAGTGAGAGAATTTAGCAAAGTTACAGAATACAAAGGAATATACAAAAGTCAAGTAGTGGGGCCTGGTGTGATAGCCTAGCAGCTAAAATATTCACCTTGCATGTGCCAGGATCCCGTATGGGCACTGGTGCATGTCCTGGATGCCCTGCTTCCCGTCTACTCCCTGCCTGTGGCCTGGAAGAGCAGTTGATGATGGTCCAAAGCTTTGGGACCCTGCGCCTGTGTGGGAGACCTGGAAGGGGTTCCTGGCTTTGGATTGGCTCAGCTCTGGCTGTTGCAGCCATCCGACAGAAGATCTTCCTCTCTGTCTCTCCTCCTCTCTGTATTTCTGCCTTTCCAATAAAAATAATAAAAAAAATTTTTTTAAAGGCAACTAACATTCTTTGTTTTTTCTTTATAAGATTTTTTTTTAAGGCAGAGTTACAGAGATACTGAGAATGATATCTTTTCCAACCACCTGCTCACTCAGATGGCTCTGGCCAGAGCATGGCCAGTTGGAAGCCAGGAGCTTCCTTGATGCATCCCACGTGCATGCAGGGGTCCAAACGCTTGGGCTGATACTCCACTGGTTTTTCTGACACATTAGCAGGGAGATGGATCAGAATTAGAATAGCTGCAAAGGAACCAGCACCCTTTAAATGCTAATACTGCAGGCAGTGGATTTGCTCACTATAACACAGTGCTGTGACTCCTCAATAACATTCTTATACTCTAAAAAGTGATCTGGTTGACTAAAATTGTAAGAACAATCATATTCACAGTAGCTGCAAAAGTTAAATATCTTGTGATAAATTTAATCAAAGATGTGAAAGACTTTTACAGCAAAAATTGCAAAATATTCCTGAACAAAGTAGGAGAGGACAACAACAGCAAAAAGAAAATTTTCCATGTTCATGCATTGAAGTATTAATATTTTTTAAATACCCATAAGTGCTAAAGTAATTCATAGTTTCAAGACAGTCCTCATAAAAATTTCAAGAAGATTCTTCACAGAACTAGGAAATGTAAAAAAAAAATCTAAAATTCCTGTGGAAACTCAAAATACCCAAAAAGGGCAAACCATCTTAAAAATAAAGCTGGAAATACAAAAGAACAGAAAACCAAAGGCAAAACAAAGCTGCAGGTGTCGCGACATCGGGCATCCGGACTTCTAAACTGGCGATTTTCTTGATCCTTCCTGCAATTGTCCAAGCAGAAAATTGAACCTAAGCTTCATGTCCTTTTCTTCCTATAGTTTATAAGCTTAGCTAAATGGATGATTGTCCTTGTTTCTGAAATATTATGTCTTCATATGTTTTTCAGAGCTGCTTTTTGCCTAAGCAGATTTTGAATGGTTGCATAATTCTTTTCAAGCCATCTTAAAGCAAACTTTTAAAAAATCCTTTATATTCCATGACCTTGGATTTTATCAGTTAATTATGTGTTCACATGGGAACCTTTTAGAAGACTTGTCTTCCAAGAATGTCCTGTCGTCAGGAACCAGTTCTATAGATGGATTTTATGTATGCATGGTTGTCTGTATCTTTGGCAACAATATTCTGTCTGAGTCATACCCCTAGAAAATAATTTTTCTGTCTGTCCTTGTCATACTGTCCTGGAAGACCTGAGTGATTTGGATGATTGAATTATTGGGAGAATAGGTGACCTAGAAATAGGGAGGTATCTTACCAAGATGCACGTTTGTGATTTGACTTACAGGGTTTACTGGGTATTTCTTGGTCAGGAGTTTGTTCAGTTAGTTTAAGTGTGTCCTATGGTTGCTCCTGTATAAATTTTGAGCTTGCCCAAAGGTTTCTTTGTTCGTAGTGAAATGTAGGCCTACTTGATGTTTGAACAACTTTGAACTGCAGTTAAAATAAGTAGCTGAGCTTTCTCCGATTCGAAATCAAACCTTCCCATGTGATGGGGCTTAGTCTCTCTGAGCCTACTCTTGTCCTGTATCCTGCCTGATTTAGGAATCAACTTCTGTTTCAATTAGTGTGGCTGAAGTTTTTCACGTAACAGTGAGTCCACTCCTTGGTTCTGCTTTTCATTTGTAGTATAATATGATGTTAAAGTCTTTAGTGAGTGCCGTTTCCTTTGCTGTATTTCTTATTGCCCTTCTTGCTTCGTTCCTAACTGCCAGGAACCACAGGGAACGTGTTATCATTCAGTGAAACAAGAGCACATCAAGTGGTTCAGCAGAAATCAGAGCAGTTCATGATTTATAACCAAAAGCAGCTCACAAGGATTTACCCGTCAGCCTATCGCATTGATTCCAGTAACTTCAATCCTCTGCCCTACTGGAATGCGGGGTGCCAGCTAGGTGTGTATGCCTCGGGAGGGAGCAGTGCTTGGTGCAGTCTAACTCTGCTTGGACATCTTGCCTGATTTTCTTAAACTTTCAACTCACACAGTGGCGCTGAACTACCAGTCTGAAGGGCGAATGATGCAGTTAAATCGAGCCAAATTCAAGACAAACGGCAACTGTGGCTACGTCCTCAAGCCCCAGCAAATGTGTAAAGGTGTGCATTAATCTCATGGACATGTCTCTGAATTGAGATGACCTCTGATAAAGGATTCCCCAGTGATATCTCAAAGTTTACAACATACTTTACAAAAAAAGTTATGTTAAAATGTTGGCATGTATTGCAACTCTTGTAATTATTGACTATTTGGTTAGCGTAGAATGTAACCTTCTGAAGGTGTACATATTAACTGAGACTAATATCAAGACCTGATGATTCCTTATTGTTGAGGTAAGGTCTAAGCATTTCCTGACACAAACTGTCTTAAGGAATGTGGGTGTGAGACCTGCTGATGAAGTTAAATTCCACCTGGAAAAACTTTCAGTTAATCCCTTTTAGTCAATGCAGTCGTATTACAGAACAATGTTTAGGAAAAAGGATCATGCTGTCTTTGGTTCAAATGATACTTTCATTTGGTTTTGCTTGTTAAAATTCTTCTTACATTTTCCATATTGGATTTATAACAATAGGATAAAGCAAGTATTGATCATGTGTCTTTAGGGTTTTAGGTTTTTCCTTTTTCCTTGCTCGGCTACTTGTTTAATTTCAGTCCTTTTTGTTATAGTCACTGTATACTATATGTTGGGGAGTTTATTGAACCTGACATAACTGCTCCCCTTTTTTATTAGCATGAAAACAACGCTCTTCTTCCTCTCTACCATGGCTGCTAATTGCAATGCTGAAACTTGCTTGAAATACATTCATTCCTCTAGCTACTGGGAGCATGGATCATAATAAAAATCACAGCTGTGGAAATGCCAGCTGGTGGTGCCTTCTTTAAAAAGCATGCTGATAGCTTATGTGATAATCTCTTTGCATGAAGAAACTGATGTTACTCAGTATTTATGTTTCCTTGTTTTAGAAGCTTAAGCTGTGTGTATTATCAACCTCTGCTTACGTGGCTAGGTACTTTCAACCCTTTCTCTGGTGACCCACTTCCTGCTAACCCCAAAAAGCAACTCATCCTGAAGGTGATTAGCGGACAGCAGCTCCCCAAACCTCCAGACTCCATGCTTGGAGACCGAGGCGAGGTAAGCTTGCAAATGACTACCTGGCAAAGTAGCCAATTGTGGGATTATTTTATGGTGTTTAAAATTCATCTGGAATGTCTTCAGGGGTGTGTGAGTGTGTAAATGAACATTCAGCTCATCACATTTTAACCAGCTTACTGTAAACCACATAGAGTCTCGCTGGGCTACAATGCCTTGTCTGTTCTGGAGGAATGAGGAACTATTCTGGTCACAATCCAAGTCTGATAGAAGCAATGCTGAAATTAGGGTGCAAATAACAATGCTATTATTAATGGGAACATTGCTAAGAGCATATTTTAATCTCCCACCCCTCAACTTTTGCAGCTCTAATCCCTGTGACACTCCAGCCTCCCGCTCTTTAGCTACAGGCTGGTCCTTGTACCTGCTAAACTACTATAGCATAATTTTTAAAAAGATTCTCTCTGGGACCCATGTTGTGGCAGAGTGTCTAAAGCTTCCACTGCAGCACTGATGCTGGTATCCAATGTGGAATGCCACTTAAAGTCTCAACTGTTGTACTTCTGATCCATCTCTCTGCTGATGTGCCTGGGAGAGCAGTGTTAGCTTACCCAACTGTTTGGGCTCCTGCCATCATGTCAGACACCTGAATAGAGTTCTTGCTTCCTGGCTTCAACCTGGTCTCTGCCACCGTTTAAACAATGAACCAATGTTTGGAAGAAAAATCTCTGGCTGGCTCTCTCTTCCCCCCCTCCTCCTTCTCTCCTTCTCCCTGTTCCCCTCTCTCCACACTCCCTTTCTCCCTTTTTCCTTTCTTCCTTCCTATCCACAGCTTTCCCTTTCAAATAGAATGAATAAAATCTTTCTTTAAAATGTGGCTCCCTTTGGGACCAAGTCCCCTTTCTTTACAGAGCTATTACAATCTTGTTCCATTCCATATGGTTTTGACATTCTTCAGATTCCTTTTTCTGCCTATTTAGTTAGTGAAAAGACTACATATAGCCATTTCTTCTTTTTCATTATTAAAAGGAGAGTAAGAGAAAGAGAGAGAGGAAGAAAAACTTACATACAGTCCTGGAAATGGTCAGGGCTGTGTTGGCCAGGCACCTGGAACTTCATCCAGTTCTCCCACATGGGTGACAGAGGGCCAAGCACATAAGCCATCTTCCACCACTTTCACAGGCAGATTGGCAGGGACCTGAATCTTGACTCAGTAGTCACAAGGTGGCAGTTTAACCCACTGCACTGTAGCTCCAGCTCTGTCTTCATCTTGACATATTTGGGCATCATACTTCTAGCTCTTACTCTTAGAAGATATCACAGCCCAAACTCTTATATGTTGTCTATTTTCCAATATATTTTTAAAATATTTATTTTATTTAGTTGAAAATTGGAGTTACAGAGAGGGGGAGTCAGAGAGAGGAAAAAAGAGCGTGCTTGCGGGAGAGAGTGCTTCTGTCCACTGGCTGACCCTCTCAAATGACTGCAACAGCCAGGGCCAGGCCAGGCTGAAGCTGGAAACCAGGGGCTTCATTCCGGTCTCCTGTGAGTGCAAGGGGCCAAGAACTTGGACTATCTTGTACTGCTTTCCTAGGTACGTTAGCAGGGTGCTGGATTGGAAGTTGAGCAGTGGACTCAAGCTGGAATGCTGACGTTATAGATGGCAGCTCAACATGCTATGCCACAGCACTGATGCCTATATTCTAAGATTGAAAGAAATACATTTTCTTTTTCTTCATAACTCTGTTCCCTTTAGATTTCCTTGGATGAGCTGTGACTTCTCTGGGTTTTTGTTCCATTGTCACTCATTAGATCTTGTGCCAAAGGTCACTTACAGATGACCAACCATGCAGCATTTCTCTTCCCCTCCCACTCATCCTGCCCTCATCCCTCACACCCTCCACCCCCACACACACACACACACACACACACACACACACACACACACACACACACACACACACACACACACAAAGGAGATGGAATTGAGCAGCGAAGCCTACATACATGTAGTTTTTATGTTACTTTTAAATCCTGTCCTTTAAAAAATCTTCTGATTCTTTGTATTTTAATGCACAGTCTACATTAAAGCTGATGAGCCAGACATGGGTGGCTTGATTAGTTTGTTGTGCCATTCAGTTTAAGACACATTCTATCCAGGGTTCCTAGAAAGCTCCCTTCACCTTTCCAGCCCTATCTTACATCTTCACAACTGATGGCAAACACAGTCCTTTTCACAACAGACTCATTTTGTCTGTTTTCAAATATCCATTAAAAAGCCTCTTTCGGTAAGTATGTTTATGCCTGGCTGGCCTAACATTGTCTGTCTGACATTATTTTGATTTTTAAATGCTTCATTATGAATATTCTACAACTTATTCACGTTATTCATTATAAGCATTTAGGTTGTTTCCAGTGTCTGATTGTTAGCCATACAGCTTTTCTGAGCAGTTGTGTATTGAAATAAATTTCTGTTCAATATGTGCCCTGCTCTGAAATTGTAGGCTCATTACAGTGTTATTAAATATTGGCAAACGGTGTTTAAAAACTTTTTTTCTATTTTTGCCTCGCATATCTGAATCACCTCATCTAGTCACATTTCTCTCCTAGTAAGTTCCTGGTTCGGATACAGACATTTTAGCCAATAATCTCAAGTTAACAAATATGTATAGAAATGAATACATTTGAAGAAATATTTACTTTATTTGAGAGGTAGATAGTGAGGGTGGGTAGAGGGGAAAGTGGGAGAGGGGAAAGAAGGAACAAGTGTCGTCTCTTGGTTTACTTCCCAGTGCCTAAATCTAGGAACTTCTACTGGGTCTCCCATGTGGAAGGCAGGAGCCCAAATACTCAAGACGTCACCTGCTATCTTCCAGAATATACATTAGCCAGAAGTTAGAACCAGGACCACAGTTGGCACCAGAAGAAATGTATAATTTTTAATAGTGCTTTCTCTTTATTTATATAGATTATTGATCCTTTTGTTGAAGTTGAAATCATTGGATTACCAGTAGATTGTTGTAAAGATCAGACCCGTGTGGTGGATGACAATGGTAAGATAATGATCTGTGTTCAGTCTTAATGAGGATGCTATAGAACTGGACTTTGCACTGGAAAAAACTGTCTATGCAGTGTAGCAAAAATTCCATAAAATCTCTGAGTTTGTTGAGATGTGTTCAGCATAGTAATAGGAAGTAATGCATGAACTATTTTGATGGTGTTATAATCTAGACTCAGACCTTGAAGTCTGTGCAGCTTCATTAGTAGAGTATTACTTAAGATGTAACATGACAGAGAGAGCATTCTTCATAAATTTTTATATGTGCTACCAAAGGGTTAGTACTAGCATTTTAGACTCAGAAGTAATGGAGAAGTAATGAAGAAATCAACGAAAAGATAATTTTGTCTCCTTTTCTGGAAAGATCTGATTTTTCAGTCTATTGTTTTTTCATTAGCTTGAGGAGTTTTACAGGACTAAGTAGTTGATATCTTCTGAATATATACAGTTATTTGAACTTATCTCCATTTTTTTATAAAGGAGAAAAATGTGTGGAATATTTGAATATTTTAATCACCTTTAATAATTATTTAAAGGGAATTTTACTGAGAAATAATCGTAATCTTGCCATCTATTATTTAAGTTAAGCTATATATTTTATATTCATTTTCAGTGGTTATAAAACTATATCAGCTTTCATGCAGTTAACTCTTGCTTTCTTGAAGCGTCTGGGAATCAGCAGTGCACAGTCCAAGATGGCCCTGTCACTCTAGCTTATGACCTTAGGCCCATTATCTTCTTTTGAGCATCAGTTTCTTCAAGCATAGTTATATATACTAAATTTCTTACCTTAAAAGTGAGATTGTGTTGTTTGTATAATTTTTAAAAATTATATATTCTTGAAAGTCATTTGCATTTTTTCTTAATTAGAATAAGAACAGAACCCAAAACCTGTCCTTCCTTTCTTAGAGGATGTTTGTAATAATTAGGATGATATACGTATAGTGCTGTTGACACCTGTAAAACACCTTTACAAAGTCACTGATGTCATTACACCAGCAGACTCTTTGGGGTTGGGGAAGCATGATTCTGCTGGGAGAGTGATGTTCTTTATTGCTTTTGCTCTTAGATCTTTATTACAGATAGTTTTCCAACTTACTAAGACATTCTGAATACTAAAGAGCTTCCTCTCCAATTCAGTGGGATGGCGATGATGAATAGACTTGATGTGATCATTTGTAGGCAATTTTGTTATCAATTACTTTCTAGCAAAGTGGTAACTTCTGTAGCTTTATTTTGGTATGTCCTCCTGGAGTAGCTCAGTCATCTTTACAAGTTTAATAAACATCACAAGCAATTTCCTCCGTCTGCTTTGCAGATGTTGCTGCCGACTCATTTCCAGCCAGGCCTTTGCTTTCCTGACTTTTCTTTTCTTATTTCTCTGAGGCTTTAACCCCGTGTGGGAAGAAACACTGACATTTACAGTACACATGCCAGAAATAGCTTTGGTTCGGTTCCTGGTGTGGGATCATGATCCCATTGGACGAGACTTTGTTGGACAAAGAACAGTGACCTTCAGCAGCTTAGTGCCTGGTAGGTGTAAGCTTGCCTTTTCTCTTTGACTGATCTTCCTTTTTCTCTGGAAGAGTCAGTGTAAGATATGTGAGTGTCATGTGATGTTTAATATGTGTCAGAGGATAAATGCAACCTTAACTTGCTTTGTAAAACGGAAAGAACTATGGTCAAGTCAGATGCTTCCTTCTGTTGTGCCCATGCCAAAGTCTAATGCAAGATAATGTTCTTTATTCCATCAGGTTATCGCCATGTCTATTTGGAAGGCCTGGCAGAAGCATCCATATTTGTCCACATAACAATCAATGAAATCTATGGAAAGGTAAGAAGGATGACAGGGGTGAAAGCCACATAAATGACATAGTCCTATAGTGGGCTAAGTCACTAATGAGCTACGTGCAGAAAAGGAATGAATATTTTGGGAACTTTGTGCATTCCCAGTTCTGCCCCCACCCACCAGTGCTCTTTGTACTTTCTGGATATGTACTCATCTCTTCCTCCCAAGGCCGCCTCTTGGCTTCATGTAATCAAGAAACTGATTATGCACTCAGCCATATGTTTATTAGGACAGTGATGATATATTTAAAGATTTGTTTATTTAAAAGACAAAGTTATAGAGAAAGAAGGAAAGTCAAAGAGAAGAAAGAGAGTGAGTGAGAGAGAAACAGGTGTTTAACTAGTTCATTCTTCACATAGCTGCAATGGCCAAGGCTAGGACAAGCTGAAGCCAAGAGCCAGGAGCTTCATCCAGGTCTCCAAAATGGGTGGCAGGGGCCCATTCTCTTGGGCCATCTTCCATTGATATCCCACTCACATTGACAGAGAGCTTGACTGGAAGTAGAGCTTCCAGGACTTGAACTGGTGATGAACTTTAAAAAATCGTAAACTTATCCATGGTATTCAGAAGAAAGAGCCCATTAACATGTGTCGTAGTTCTCCCTTGAAGTTTGGGAATCTGTATGTGGTCCTTTGGTCATGTCAGGTCATTGGGAACTTGGCCGGTGGTATGAATTCTTAGGACCAGGTGTGAGTTGGAGGAACTGTAAAAGCTTTAGGTGGAATCTAACAATGTCTAGTGTTGCTTGTCAGAAAGTCTGTATATCCTGGAGCTGCACCTCCAGAAATTGTATACATCCCTGCGTCAGCTTCCTCATCTGCAAACATGGGATTAAAACAGAAACGACTTCATTCACACACACACACACACACACACACACACACACACACACACACACACACACACACACACATCTATATATAAACACAGATTATCCCTAGAAAGCTATCTGATGTATAGTAGGTACACAAAAACCTTGGCTAATGTTAATATTATTGTAACCATAATATAATTGGTAAGAGATGCACCATTTCATCCTGAATTAGGAAATATATGTTTATTCGTTAGACCATAATTTCTAAGAATAGTGAAGTTTTATGACATTCTATGTTTAATCATGAATTTTTGTTTGCTTTGGTATTTGAGATCTTTCCTTTGCCCTAAATAGACACAGATACAAACAATGACTTTTAAAATGATTCTTACATCCTAAGAATCCCAGGATAACTATATAATATCTCTAGTATATGAAAGGAAACAATAAAATTCAGAATTTGCCTCAAACTTGAGCCAGAAATTAACATGAAATTAATAAATATAAAAATTTAAAAAAAAGTTCCATAGTCTTTCTCTTTACTCTCCTAAATGCGTACCCATTTTTTTAAGTATAGTTTTATTACCTTTAATATGTGTTCACATTTCGGGTTGTGCATACCATACTGCGCTAGTGTTGAGATGACCAGTGAACGTAAGACTAGCCGTCACCACTCCTGCGAGAGATGGCGTGTAGACATATGTGCATTTGCGTGTGTGTGTTTACTTGAGCCTTCTCCATCGAGCCCAGACTGTGCTTTGTTGTGTTTTTCCCTTGCAGTGGAGCCCTTTAATCCTCAACCCCAGTTACACTATCTTGCACTTTCTAGGAGCTACAAAGGTAGTTTCTCAGCATGGTGCTTTGCTCTTGCTACCTCTGTCTTGTTGATCAGTGATGGCAGCATGCATTCTCGGGTCATTCCATTCTCCTGTTTCCCTTTTGGAAACACGCATCTGGCTTGCTTTAAGGTGGCTGAGGTTTTGACAGTCTGTTCACTGTGGAAACTCTTTCCTACCACTTGTGACTCCTGGGTAGGAAACTTGTGATAAAGTTTGGCTGTGACGATGGAAGGCTGCCTTGCTCGAAGAGTAGGGTTAAGGCGTGCATGCTGCTGTGCGAACGTGCTGCGGTTCCTCGGTGTGCACGTTCTTCCGTGGCTGTGGCATTTCCCTTATGCATTCATTCCTCACGGAGCTGTCATTCCTCAGGCAGGTCGTGGGTGAGATGGCATTCGCTAAACTTGTGGTGGGGTCCTTTTGTGTCTTCAGAACAGGCAGCTCCAAGGTCTGAAGGGACTGTTCAACAAGAACCCTAGACACGGTTCTTCAGAAAACAGTTCCCATTATGTTCGGAAGAGATCGATTGGAGATAGAATTTTGCGCCGCACAGCCAGTGCTCCAGCCAAAGGCAGGAAAAAGAGCAAAACGGGCTTCCAAGAGATGATTGAGATGAAGGATTCCGTGTCCGAGGCTGCCAGAGATCAAGATGGCGTCCTGAGGAGGACCACGCGGAGTCTGCAGGCGCGCCCTGTGTCCATGCCTGTGGACAGAAATTTTCTTGGGGCTTTGTCGCTGCCTGTACCTGAGCCGGCAAGAGACGCCGAAGGGAGAGAAAACGCACTGGGTGAGTTGCTGTAGACTTCTCTCAGGACAAACCCTTCTAGGCTGCAGTTTAGTTTGGTTCCCATTATGACCTGGATGACATTCTGAATTCAACATAAAACTTCATAAAAAAAAAGATGTATTTTTTTTTATTGTTGCCATCAAGGCACAAAGACTTCAGACTTTGAAGGACAGTGGTTGAAGAGCCATTTCCTTCTCACTAATAGCCTTCAATAACGCTGAAATCTGATGATGGTGAGGGATAAAGGGCCACCTTCAGACATGAGGACACGTGTGCTTTGGTCTGAGAGGGCTGTGCAGAGTTATGGAAGTTGAAAGCCCTAGGTGGGGAGAAGTCCTGATTTCCCAACTGGGAACCCTAATTACTCCTTGTTGTGAAGTTGAGTAGAATTATATTATTTCTGAAAACCCGAATTTTGTTTGTGTAACTTTCCCCATCGTGTAACACATATTTCCATAGTTGGACATATTTGTGGGGTAGGAAATGCAGGTGTCAGAAGCAAGCCAGCTTCCTGACTGGTCTGATTTCTTAAGACCTTTCTCTCCAGCGGAAGAGTTTCTATGAGCTCAGTTCTGCAAGTGCTGGCTCTTGGCATGAACAGACTTGCCTGTGGCTCCTGCCTCCTCGTAGGCTTCACAGACAGAAACCAGGCACTCACCTCCCTTTGCTTTAGTCTACCCACATTTCTGACTCCTATCGAACTCAACAATTATGGATTATTTTCCAAGGCACCAAAGAGCTCAGCTAGTGTCAGGGAATCCCTTTCTCCAATCCTGAATAATCTGAGAGCCCAAACTGCGTTCGTTGGAAGTATCTGGAACAAATTTTCCATTAGTAAAATCATTCCTTTTTATATGACCTGATTTCAATTATTTATTTTTCCACAAATACCGTTTTACGAATCTTGATTTTTATTGTAAAATGTTCAAAGTAGATAAATTATTTTTTAAAATTTCTTTTTATTTGAAAGGCAGAATTTCAGAGAGAATGAGAGATAGAGTTGACCTCCTTCCCCTGATTCACTCTCCAAATGTCTACGATGGCCAAAGTTGAGCTGATCCAAAGCCAGCAGCCGTGATTGTCTTACAGGTCTCCCACATGGGTGTAGGAGCCCAAGACTTGAGCCACCTTGCACTGCTTTCCCAGGGTATAAGCAAGGAGCTGCACTGGAAGTGGAGCAGCTGGAAATTGAACCAGTACCCATGTGGATACTGGTGCTGCAAGTGGAGGCCTAGCCTACTAAGCCATGGCACTGACCCCAATAAACCCATTCTTAGATGGATTTTATGAAGAAGGAAAAAAAAAAAGACTTAAAAGAATTTTGCTCAGAACGACAGCATACAGAGGATGAAATATGTCCTGGAAAGTCTTATTTAAAAACCTCCACTGGGGAAATTAAACCTATATTCAGTAGGAAGTGAAGGTAATTAATCTTATTAATGCCAGTTAAATTGTTAATACCATTAAGAGTTAGAAAGCAATCTGGAAGCAATATTTCTTTTATTTAAAAGTAGTTACATAATTTACAGATAAACCATTTGTATGTTAAATGGTAAATGTGGAGTAATGCAAGTTATGTTACGGGAGAGAAAGAGCATGCAGAGAGAAAGCAGAATATAAGATTCACACAATATTTTTGCCCCTTCACAAAAGTTACAGTGACTGGTTGGATGGTAATATCATGGTTTTTCTGTTTAATACTTGCAGTTTAAAAAATTGGCATGATGATGTTTAGTTAGGGAAATATTAAGTCTCACAAATTTTTCATTCATGACTCTGACAACATTGAAAAATCTATTGCAATTCGCTAAAAGTAGTTGAACACCTGATACTGTGTTAGCGCTACGCCAACCATGATGAAGTATCTAAAATTACTCTGAGTTGTGTGTCTACAAAGACATTTGTTATAGTTTTAGTTTTCCTGACTTTGCCTGACATGTTATTGACTCATTTTTTTGGGGGGGGAGAATTCAACATTATAAACAAAAATGTTTCTCAAAAATTAGGTGTTGGTGGTGACAAGCTTAATGAGCAACTGTTTGTAATCTAAAGTCAGCAGATATGGATATTTTCATGTGTTTATTATACCTTCCAGCTGTTTTAGAAATTGATTTGTTAAATCTTTGGCCAAAATGTTCTAAAAATGTACAGTTTGTTTTTTTAAAGACTAATTCATGTGAACTTTTGAAAGCTTATAGTCTTTTGCTTACAGGTACCCACAGTACTTTGTGTAACAGAGCTGTCTTGTTCTGTTTTTATTGCCATGCTTCTGTGTAGTACAAATCTGAATAGGAAACAACCTAAGGTAATCTTCACTGTAAAAGTATGGTAACTCATTGACATTTTTGAACAATAAATATTACATCCTTAGCAGATGTAATAGATATTCAAAGGGAACCTCAGCGAAATTCCTATCAATCTATTTTGCCATTTATTCATCGCACAGACACTTTGTTACAAACCTCAGCAATCCATGATTATAGTCCGTCACAGTGTGAAAGATTTACATTCTCCATTTGTCTGTCTGAAGACAAACATGAGTGTTCACAGTTCTCCTTATACTGAAACATATCACCTAAAGTATTGTTTGCTTTCTTCAGCAGAAGATGATGGCAGAAGAAAGGGGAAGACAAGTGTAAAAGACTCACATTTTCCAAATTTCAACAGAAAGTTGTCCTCCTCCTCCAGTGCTCTCCTCCACAAAGACAGCAGCCAAGGGAACACCACCATTTCTCCTGCCAGCGGATCTATCACGAAACAGAGGGGAGAGCCCGGTCCTGAGGGAGGGAGAAGCCAACCAAATGTGACAAGAGGTTGCCAGGAGAACCACCGTCCCAAAGAAGCCCTGTCACCAAGGTGGCATGTGGCTACTAATCCTGCAGTTGGCCTTCCCCGGGAATTGCAAGTGGTGAAGAGCCAGCAGAAGGGCAGTGCTGAGGGCCTTGGGGAAGGGGCGAACGTGCTGTCGGGAAGCATGCTTTCTCAGAGCAATCTGGAGATCAAGAACCTGGACGGGAACAGAGAGCAGGGCAGAGCTGCAACCTCCTTCTCTTTGTCAGATGTCTCCATGCTCTGTTCTGACATCCCCGACTTACATTCTACAGCTATTCTTCAGGAGAGCGAGGTTTCCCATCTGATTGACAATGTCACCTTAACAAATGAGAATGAGCCGGGCAGTTCTATCTCAGCGCTGATTGGTCAGTTTGATGAGACCAACAATCAGGCTAACTTCACAATTGTTTCTCAGCTTCCCAGTAGCAGTGTGATGTCAGGCCATGGGCCCATGCCTGCCCTGGGCCCAAGCACACCCTTCAAGCATGGTTTTTCCAAGGAAAAATCCAACTTGTCCTTCATGTGCTCATCTCCTGAGCTGGGTGAAGGCTTGAATTCTGGGACCACCAAGCATGCAGTGCACACAGTTCCTTGTGAAACTACCTGTGCTCCTATCTCAAAAGCCAAACTAGATGTTTCTGCAAAGGCCAAGATAAGGGCTGGGGAAGGTGACACGCCTGAATCCCCTACTACTTCTTGTGATTGGGTACCAAGAAGTCCCACCAAAGGAAGGGACTGGCAAAAGGTTAAGGGCTGCAGCCCTGCCACCTCCACTGACCTCACGCTGGACAATGCAGTAGTTGACCCAACCCTCTGTTTCAATTCTGGGGAAAGCAGTCTGGTGGAAGTGGATGGCGAGTTGGAAAATCAGTCTTGGACAATCTGTGAACACAAGAGAGAGGGCACAAGCCTACTTGCTTCTCCCTTAAAATTGAACTGCAGTGAGGATGTGGCAGAACATTTTCAAAGAGGCTTGAAAAATGGCTACTGTCAAGAGACCCTCCACCGTTCTGTCCCAGAAACATTCCACAAGGTTCAAGTTGTTAAAAATCAAAGTATTTCTTGTCTAGCCTATCAGGGTGCTGGTTTTGTGCTTAACCACTTCTCAAATTCAGATGCAAAAACAAACCAGATCCCTCTGCCCCAGCAGTCTAGTGCTCAAGGTACGCATGTCCCTGGAGCCGAGCACTCGACACATCCTCCTCTACCTGCTTTGAAACTACCCAGTCCTTGCAAATCCAAGAGCCTGGGAGATTTAACATCTGAGGACATTGCCTGCAATTTTGAGAGCAAATACCAGTGTATTAGTAAGAGTTTTGTTACAACTGGTATTAGCGAAAAGAAAGGCATGACTGTGAAAACCCAGTCTCTGGAGCCCTTAGATGCCCTGACTGAGCAGCTTCGGAAACTGGTGTCTTTTGACCAGGAGGATGGCTGCCAAGTACTGTATTCAAAGCAGGATGCCAGTCAGTTTCCCAGGGCACTGGTCAGAAAGTTGTCATCGAGAAGTCAGAGCAGGGTACGCAACATTGCCAGCCGTGCTAGGGAGAAGCAGGAAGCCAACAAGAACAAAGTTGTGAACCCCGGCAACGGGACACGGGTGGTCTTTAGAAACAAGCCCTCAGTGCCGGCCCCAGCTGTGAACCGCCACTCCACTGGCTCCTACATCGCAGGCTACCTGCAGCCTGAGAAGGGCAGCCTTGAAGGCCGAGGCATGCCAGAGGGGGCATGCGCAGCCCTTCGCTATGGCTATGCTGACCAGTTTTGTTCAGATCATTCTGTTTTGCAGACTGAGCCAAGCATTGATGATAAACCAGAAATTTATTTTCTTTTGAGACTGTGAATTATACATCCCTCAATGTTTACAATGTATTCTATACAATATTGGAGTTCTCAGTTTTCAGTAAATATGGTCATTGGTGTTGAAATGACTTGCAGATGTCTTTTTAAACTTGTATTTTGGTGTTCCTTTGACTTATGTGTTCTGCTGATGCATTTGTGTATTGATTTGTATGTTTCTCCTTTGGGGTGTTGTAAACTCTACTGGAATGAAATGTGTGCATGCCCTGGATATGAAACTTCTTAACAGCGTGGGTTTTGGTGTACATACATGTCACCACAATGCTCCACTGTGTCCTCAGGTCACGGTCACCCACATCTTTATTTTAACTATTGCGACAACGAAGGGATGACTTCTTTCGTTGCAGCGGCTTTTGGTTTTTCCTTAAGCATTTTTATAAAAAGGTTAAAAGTGATTCAAAACCATTACCTTGCCTTTTTTTTTAGATTTCTTCACTCTACCCAAAATGAAAATCCAAAGGGGATCAGTGGGTACTTCCCTTACTCGCTCCCCAACTCCCTGTTTAGAATAGGCTGTGAGGGTGTAAGGAAGAAAGGGGATTGCTGTATATAAAGACAAAACTGTTTTACATAAAGTTTGTTACATATTTTTGCTAATAGCTTTATATGTAACAATCCAGTTGCCAAGGTATTTGTTGTACATTTTAATTTTCTGATACATTACAGGATGCACAAATGATGGCTTTCAGAGTGGCAGGCTTCCATTAAACTCTAATAATAATAGTAACACACGTAGAAAAATTGCCCAGTGCTGTCAAGAAAAAATATTTTCTCACAATAACATCCAAGTGGATAGATAAGTAGAAGAAACCTTTTTCCCTTTGGAGAAAACACCTAACTCTATTTTAGTACCAACATGCGTTATTTCCACTGTGAACCCATTTTTAAACTGCATGTTTGGATGTCTCTCTTTGGTTTTTTGTACCATTAACTGCAATGATGTCCTTCCCGGAATTCATGAAAATATAATTAAAGTGCAGATTTTTAAATACTTGGTGAATCTTCTTTTTTTGCTGGATGGGGTATGATTGAAATTCATACAGTGATTCTTGCTTGTCTTACTTGTCCATATTTTCCTTTCCACATCGTTGCAACTGAACAGGAAATTCTTACTGCAAGGATCAGTTTTAAGCAACAGTTTATGTTTCCATTGTCCTTTACATAGTATATTTGGGAGCTGAGCTTTTCCCTTGATGGGGTGGGTGATAGGACTGGGGGTTCCTCATCTGTTTGGATGTTTGGTACTGGAATGCTAGCTGGGGGCAAGGTTGTTAATGGTGAAAGGGAGAGAGACCATTTCCCTGCTCTTATGAGCACAGTATGTTTTTCATCTTGAGGATGCTGAACTCCCAGAATCTGTCCTTAGATCTTTGCTTTTTTTTTCCCTTAAAATATCCTCGTCTTAGATTATATGATGTAGTGTTGCTGCAATTCAATTGCAAAATAATAGAACTTTACTACTTTTTGTGATTTAATGGAATCTGTTCTCAAAAATGAAAGGCAAAATACAGGGCTTTACATTTGGATGTCAGCCCCGCCTCAAAGTAATCTAGTTAGGACAAGTGACTGTGGTCACATGGGGAGTTATCAGGCCAATCCTGCAGGTACTCCAGTGTGTCCTTCACCTGTACGTGCAGCATTCTTGTACTTCACAGCGTAGGGAGAGAGCAGAAGCATACTCATGTTTAACCAGGTGTGGGTGGCTAATGAGCAGACAGAGCAAACTGCTGTGTTTGGGAATCCCTCAAGGTGCATGTGCTGGAGCTGTGGTCCCAGAGGTGCTATGGAGCATGATGGAGCCCGGTGGGAGGTTATTTGGCATTGCTGTGACCATCACCCTCCAGGTCTTTGGGTGCAGGCAGTCCTTGTGCAGCTCCGGGGAAGCACTTACAGCAGGGCTGTTTTAAAGAGAAATCCTTGTCCTCATCTGTTTTCTGCCTTACCATGTGGTCCCTTCCCTGCGCAGGTTCCTGCCATCTTCCTTGTGGTTTATTCTGAAACCTTTGCTCCGCTGCTTGGACTTCAGCCTCCTCCAGAACAGTGAGCTAAATAAGCTTTTTGTTTCTTTATAAAGTTCGCTGTCTCTGGTATTTAGATGACAGAAAGCTGATTGATACACAAAGCTTCTTAAATTGGATTAAGCTGTAATTCCCATGTAAAGTCTTTATTGGGTCACCATCATACGAAGTGTGTTTCTATAGCTTGATCTCCTCTGGCTGGGTTTCCTCTTCCTTTGTGCACTGCATTCTTCAAGGTCCATTCTGGAGGACTCCTTTCTCTGTGGAGTGTTCTCTGAACACAATTTCTTTTTCTCTGATTGTATCTGATCCGTTAAGGATCACCTCATCCATGTGGGACGTTCCATGCACCTATGTAATCTTGGATTCAACTCCGTTTTATTGATCTGTTCATGCATGCCTCTTCCACGAGACTTAGATCCTGCTGAGGGCCTGGCCTAGGGCCTGATACTTATGATGTGTACACAGTAAATGTTTGATAACTCTATGAATTAGGAAAGACATGGGAGAAAACAGTACATCTGTTTTCACAGTTTGTTGTTTGGAAGGAGGAAGAAGCATAGATTGCTGTTCCAAGTAGACGTGTGAGCATTGGATGAGCTTATCTTTTTAAAAGAATTTTTATTTGAGAGGCATACAGAGCTCTCCCATCTGCTGTTTTACTTCCCAAATGCCTGCAAAGGCCAAGGCTAGCCTACGTTGAAGACAGGAGTCAGCAGCTCATTCTGAGTCTCCCCCACGAGTGTCAGGGACCCAATGTCTTGAGTCTCCTTTGGTCTGCATCCCTGGAGAACTGCAGTCAGGAGCCAATGCCAGGAATTCCACCCAATACTTGTAAGAGAGGTAGATAGCTTAACCTTTAGGCTAAACACTCAACCCTGAGTTTGTGTTTTATCTGTCTTGGTTTTCTCCTTCTTTCAATCTAGCCTATACAACTTAATGAGTACTTTTTCATTTACTATGAATAAGAGACTGGCATTTGTATAGCCTTCTACAATATGGAGACATCAATATATAGAGCATTAGATTTTGTTCTTACAATAGCATTGTGAGAGGCTATTATGCTCGTTTTATAGATCCTCAAAGTGAGTCTCAGTGAGCATGTGATTTCTGTAGGTAATGGAGGGTAGGAAATAGCTGAGCAAAGTCATTTTAATTCCTACATCAGTTATCTTTCTGCCACACACCATTGTCTTTTTAAAGAATTTAATAAACTTTCAGTTAGTGTCTCCTTGGTCTGGTGTGCTCAGGTGGTTATTAGCAATCGGGACTTATATGGAGGAACCAGCTTGGTAGAGGTACTTGTATATATAGATTTTTGTCACAATTGATTAGAAACGTGTCACAAGTGGTAGCTGAAAATATAAAATTAGAACTGCTATATAGATGACAACCATGAATGCTCCGCTTTTTTGACTGAAATAACACCTTAACCCAGGATCACTGAAAAAGTGCTTACGGAAAACTCTAAATATACTAGACATAGGGGTACATTCCCAGAGAAGCAAGGATGATGGAGAATTGAGGGCAAGTAGTAGGAGAGAGAAAAAATACAAGGTGCTGCATTGCTGAGATGACTAAAGGTTTAAAATGAAATCATCCCGATGCCTTGGTTGGTAAGCTATCTTCAGAGAAGCCGTGCACAAAGCCCTTTCGTGAGAGCAGTCTCTTAAGGAAAGATGGGTGAATGATGGGTCACTTGAGAGCCCTTCCATCTGTTTTTGGTGGTGAAAATCCACCCCCTGTGGCATTTGCTTCCTGTTTCCAGGCTTGTGCTCATGCCAATGAGAAAGTAAAGCCTCCAGGTCACAACGTGGGCTAGTCTCTGCATGACAGGCAGGGACTCCTGAGTGTATGATGGCAATGACAGCAATAATGTGACTGTGGGACTAGCTGAACAGAGAAGCAATGCAAATGGTTGACTTTGGGGTGGAGATAGGCAGAGATAAGATGATGTGGTATAAACATTGATTCTCCTACATCAATCCAGTTTTTTTTTTTTTTGCATCCTCTTATGATCTTTAGATCTTGGATGAGAACAAGGTACTATGTTTACCAGTGCTTCCAGAGAGTGGTAAGTTTCAATCTCTGACAGAGAGGATTTGTAGACCAAGCTGTAGCACCCACTGCTGCATCTGGTCCACACAGTCACAGCTGACATTCATCATCTCCATCACCTGCCACCTACTGTGGTTCCCCACACTTCCTCGCAGTTGTTTGTGTTGACACAGTCCCTCATCCTTGATGAATCTAACTTGTCAGTTGTCTCCTTTTGTTAGACAGTAGTTGCTACTGGTGCTCACTTAAAACTGTCAGTGGGCTCAGAATCACCAAAAGGCGTCACAATGAATTCTGCATGCCAGATGTACTTGTATTTACCGTCTATGTGTCATCATGGCAAGAGGAGTTCAAAGTATTTGTAATTTCCGGTTTGGTGAAACATTTAATGGTTTTCCAGGAAGCAGTACTCCTGGAAGCAAACTCCCTTGGCTGATTTCAAGGTCACTGGGTGCTGTCATTGGAGGTTGCCACCTTATGAGTCTGTTTTCTGGACTGCTTCTCACATTCCCTTTCTTCTCTAGTCGTGTCTGAAAAGCTTGAAATGATATGTCTATCATCTGGCCTATGGGTTGAGGGTTTCATAGTCGGTTTATACTCTCAGAAGTGAGTCCACAGGAATGGATGCAGAATTATCCATAGCTGGAAGATATAGTTCTGTATGAGCTCAGTTATGTTCAAGCATTAACCTTGAACCCCTCTGTACTAAGTCAGATCTGGCATTCTAACTCTGTACCCCAAAGTGATCTACATTCTCTCCCTTTTCTGGGATCTCAGATCAAATTATCCAGAACCTTGATTATTTTGGAGGCCTCTACTACCATGTCCATGACTTCTGACTTCTAGGTGAGATTGCTGTGCCTGAGGCTCCATGTGGGTCAAAGAGGCAATGACCCTCTGGCCCAGA